GTATCTTCTTGCGAGCAATAACAACAGTATCATGTCCGATAAAATAGCTAAGACAGATATAAAATTTTAAGAGTCACGGAAATGCTTTACGCTGTCTCAGAATTCAACCAAGGTGTGAATTATATATCAATCTTTTTTTTTCCTTTTAAAATGTCTTTTGGTGTGTGTGTTTTGGGTTGATTTTCCTCCAAACCACAGTTCTACTGGAATATTTTTAAGTGAACTCCACTGCAATACAAGAAATTGTGTTTGGAAAAGCAAATAATGGAAACCCACTTCTGGTTTAAAACACTGTTGTTATTTTTTTTTTTTATATGTTGTACATGTTCCATATTTACCTCTGATTCAAAGAGACCAAAGTAAAAATAAAGCAAGCAATTGCAAAGGTTTAGAACAGTGGTTCTCAACCTTTTTAATGCCACGACCCCAACCGGTCGTAAGTCAAGGACTAAACCGGTCGTAAGTCGAGGACTACCCAACCGGTCGTAAGTCGAGGACTTTCCCTGCCCGGGAGCGCCACGCATACGTGGTTCCGCCCCCTGCGCCGGCCGAGGCGTAGCTGGCAAGCGGCAGAGACGGAGCAGGCCGACCATCAGCTGGCCCAGCCTAAGGGAGGTAAGGCACCCGCCGGAAAAGGGGGAAAAAATGGCGGACAAAAAAAATGGCAGACAAAAAAAATGGCGGACAGCCTTGCTTGGCGACCCCTGTGAAATGGTCGATCAACCCCAAATGGGGTCCCGACCCACAGGTTGAGAACCACTGGTTTAGAAATAATGTCCTTAACTGTCTTGCTTACCCTGTTCCCCACATTCAGAGAGATCATTAACTGCCTTCACATACCAAGTTTGATCTTGTTATTGAATTAATCTATATTCCGAGCTTGCACGATACATCAAAGAAACTCAGTAGATTGATTTTTGCTTAACACAGAGAGAGGAAAGATAAAACTAAAGCATATTACATGTTGTAGAAATGCAGTTGTTGGGGCTTTTTTTTTTGAAACAGGTTTAAATACCTTCTGTGAATTTAATTTAATTTGATACTCCAGTTTTGAGGTTCCTGACTCCATGATGACTTGGGCTGACTTACACCGAAATAATAATAAAAAAGAGCCATATGCAAAGAATCGAAGGTACAGTCAAATGGAAGACAATCTACAACACAGAAAATCAAAAACAAAACCCCCCAAAATCTATATGTAATCAAAAGCCTTCCTCCTCTACATAAAGAAGTCCAGAACCAGGTTTTCAACAATTTGCAGAAACTCAAAATGGCAGAAGCAGAATCCATCTCTAGAGGCATATTATTCAAAAATCAGGAACGATCACTGAGAAGGCACGCTGTTGTGAGTTTCACATAAAGTTGTCTTCCTCTTATGAATAAAATTGTGGCTGCAATAATTGAGGCTGATGTGCTAATAAACAGGGCCAAAGCCATGGTTTTCCCAGTTGCAATGTATGGCTGTGAAAGTTGGACCATAAGAAAGGCTGAGCGACAAAGAATGGAGGCCTTTGAACTCTGGTGCTGGAGAAGACTCCTGCGAGTCCCCTGGACTGCAAGGCGATCAAACCAATCAGTCCTAGAGGAGATCAACCCCGACTGCTCTTTAGAAGGCCAGATCCTGACGTTGAAACTCAAGTACTTTGGCCACCTAATGAGAAGGAAGGACTCACTGGAGAAGAGCCTAATGCTGGGAAAGATTGAGGGCAATAGAAAAAGGGGACGACAGAGAACGAGGTGGCTGGATGGAGTCACTGAAGCAGTAGGCATGAACTTAAATGGACTCCAGAAGATGGTAGAGGACAGGAAGGCCTGGAGGAACGTTGTCCATGGGGTTGCGATGGGTTGGATATGACTTCGCAACTAACAACCTGCTTGAGCAGAGAGTTGGACTAGAAGACCTCCAAGGTCCCTTCCAACTCTGTTATTCTATTAAATACGTGCCATTTGCTTTATTAACTGAGATTTCTCCGCTTCCAAATTGAAATCTGCAGCAACCTGGGAATAAAAATCTGAGCCTGCAAATAAGAAAGACCTTCTTAACTTAGCCATGAATGGAAGAGGCAGTTTCAAAGCAGTGGTTGTTTTTTCTGGTTGAGCCCCACATCTGCAAATGAACTTTTCTGTAAGACATAGTTGGTATATAATAATGGTTGTTTTTTTTTTCCAAACTTGGCTATTTTAAGAGAAGTGGACATCAATTCCCAGAACTCCCAGGCTGGCTGGGGAATTCTGGGAATTGATGCCCACCCACCCCTTTTAAAATGGCCAGGTTTTGGGGGAAAAAAACACTGGTAAAAAGATGGCTGGGATTAAATAGTGCTTTGAACCTCCAGAAGCATTTCACGCATGCTTAGCTTTACAAGTAATTATTATAAATCCCGGTTTTCTTCTGAGGATTTGGAAGGGAGCCAGGAAACAAGACGTCAGGAGAGTAAAATTAGCCAAGAGGTTGAGAAGTTGAGCAAAAAAAAAGGGTGTGTGGACAAGAAGGAAGGACCGAGATGAGAAAACCAAATATTGACCCACATTGTCAACTGACAGAAGGATGGCCTTCTTCTAGAGAACTCAAACATGATTGTTTATATCCAAATACGGTTCACAGCTTGGATAGTACAGAACACACAGATGTTTGGCGGGCTACGCAGTATGTTCCACTGCCTAATTCAAGATACAAGTTTAAATCTTTCCATACATTTTT